GCAGCTGATGGCAGGGGAAGAAGAAATGTGATGGGAGTGTACTGAAAAGACACTTGGGCGGGACACACCAGGCGGGAGGACGTGGGAGAACATTTTAGGCTGGGTAGGCTCAGTATGCAATCATAGGCAGTTAACACAGCGCAACAACTGAAGCCCAACAACATGGAATGCAAATGTCCCCCTGGGAACCTGAAAGGGTGGTGCACAGAGGCAGGGAAAAGAGCCCTGCTTTGCAGAGTTCCTGCTCCAGCCAGGCTTCTGGCCAAGTGTTGAATCACCATCCTCTGGGAACCTGTTTCCACTGAGATCTGGCTCAAAGAAAGGAGACAAATGTGGCGGGGGGGATACCCCCTCCACCCACCTTTTTAAGCACATGGTAGAGTCAATGATGGGATCTACAGAATCACTCCAGCAGTATGTGCATGTAAAGGCTCTCCCTGGGTAAGGTAACATTCAAAAACGCTCTGTAAAGCATAAAGCACTAAACAAAGGAAAGCCTTATTACTCTCTTGATGAGATAATAATAAGGGTCTCATCTTTCCCACGGCCTTCCACCTTGAGAAAGTGCTCTTTACAGACTGCCTCTGACCCTGGATGACCTTACTCAGTTCTTCTTATAGGCTGGCCTTGTATTGGTTAACAGTTTGTAAGTGCTCAGCTGTTCAAGTTGAAGGTATGAATATAAGCCAGTAGGCATTCTTTCTTTTTTTAAATCAGCGTGCAGCCTTTTCTTCCTCCCCCACCCACTGCCTGGCTGAGTAAGTGTTCATGAACCCTCCTCTCTCAGATACTTCTGTCCTGATCGCCCACAAAACAGTTTCCCTATGCTTCAAGAAACAATAAGGGAACATGCCAACAAATACTTCTCCCTTGTGACTATGCTTATGAATTGAATCAGGCCCTCTATGAAAGGCAATTGATATACCATTTCCAAACTGATCTGATCTATTTTGTCTTTGCAAAGCATGAGGCAGTTTCTGGAAAAGCTCTGTTGCCCTTCAGGAAGTCAAGCTGAAAAGTTGAAGGATGAACATAAACATCCTGTGCTTTCTGTAAGCGTTCATCTACGGATCATGAATCTGTGTCAACCATTCTCAAACAGATGTTCATTTTCAGCCTGCATTCATTGATTCATTCCCTTGACAAATATTTTTTGAGAACCTACATGTAGCAGACTCTGGGATACAGTGTGTGTACCAGGGATACAGTGGTGGCCAAGATGGAGAAGATCCCTGAGTCTGAGGAGCTCAGGGATAAACATCCTGAATTACTGCCTGCAGGGTAAACAGTACATATATCTCTGCCAGTATAGGTTCAAAGCGGCAAACTTGGAATATTTGGGGATAAGGGGTAGGGAAGGAGCAGGAGGCAGTACAATAGTGTTCAAGGGAATAAGAGATTCTTGTAGAACAGAACTCCTCTAATTCCTCCAACACAGTGGTCTTTGTTTGCTCTTCTCCTATATCATAATGCAAAGGTACTTGCAGTGTGAGTCCCAGATGGAGCAGAGACTGGCAAGAAACAAGGAAGAGAGTGAGGCCTGGGGAAGAGCCAAAAAAAAAAGGTTAATAACTAAGAGTTCTGCCTAGCATTGTTCAGCTTGGTAAAGCTATCTGGCCACTGTAATCATTTATTCAGTACCATGGCCCAGCATCTTTTTGCTAAGTTTCGAGTGTATGATACCATTCCTGATCAGCATCCAAAGAGCTCTGAATACCTCTTAGAGTAACTGTTGAAATTAGTGAATTTAATACATATATTACATTTTGAATAGGTAAAACATTCACATCGTTCAAAATTCAAAAGATATACAAGTACAGAGTAAAAAGTTTCCCTTTAACCTCTGTTCTCCAGCTGCCCAACACCCCTCCCTTGAAGGAATTGATTCAACTAGTTTTGTAGGTATCCTTATTTTATCCATATTTTATGGATATGTAAATAAGATTCTTAACCAGCCTTCTAACTTGAGAATAAATCACAACTCAGTCCTGTGACATCCTGTCCTTCTAGAATATATCCTGTTCTACAGGACTTACTTGAATTGGAAATTCAGTTTTTATTTTCCAGATGACTACAGTGTGAGCTGTTCTCAAAGGGGAAAAGAATGGAAAAAACAACTAGGAGAGACATGAAAATATGTATTTTAAAGTGTTAATACTCTAAGAATTTCATGCCATCAAATCAACCTCTGCCAAACAAGGCTATACTGTCAAGTTTTTAAAATCTGGTTCCCTAAAGGAAACTATACCTGGTTTTGTCGAATTACAAAATAATAGCCCTTGCTAAGTGTTATGTACTGTCTATATATTACATCATTTAAACTTCACAACAACCATATGAAAGTAAGTATATTTTATAGGTGAAGAAAATGAATGACAGAGAAGTTAAGCAAAATGTAAGTTTTCAAACCCAGGCCAGGTCTCCAAAGTTCTCTATCTTAATATGCATGATACTCCTGATCTGTTCTGATAGAGAATAGCCAAAAGAAAGCACCTGGCAACTCTTCTTGTTTACACTTTTTTTGCTTTTGTTTGTTCAAAATCTGTCGTTTTCATCAAAATTACCCATGATGTTAAATGCAGATTCTCAGGCCTCCACACTGACCTAAAGAATTAGAATCTGTGGGGGAAGGGCTCCAGGAATGCTTATTTTTGCCAGCACCCCAGGTGATTCTAAGGCAGGTGGTCAGTAAGCAAATATCTCTGACAAATATCATACATGTGGCAGTTTCTGTTTTCCAAAATTGGCCATAACCATGCCTTCCATCACACATATTCTGCTAGTTTCTATGTTGCCATTCTCCTTTCAAGAGGTGGAGTCCATGTCCCTTACCCTTGAAACGGGGTAGGCTTTTGTAGCTGGTTGACTGATAGATTATGACAATCGTGGTGCTATGTGAGTTTCATGGCTAAGTCAAAAAAAGGCTATTATTCAGCTTCTATTTTTGCTTGCTAGAATGTTCTTGGAACCCAGCCACCATGCAGTGGGGAAGCCCAAGAAGCCCCAGGGAGAGGCTCACTTGGACAAGAACTAACATCCAGCACCGGCTTGTCAACCCTACGAGCCATCTAGGAAGGTGATTTTCCGGCCCCAGGCTGATGCAGCATGGAGCAAAGATGTGCCTTCCTTGACAAGCCCTGCCCAAATTACAGATTTGCACACTTCTAACCCAACAATCACTCTGCTTTTCTTTCTACCAGGGTGAATTCTCCTGGGCTCTCTGTAAAATATTCTCTCTTTTTTTTAAAAGATGACCAGTAAGAGGATCTTAACCCCCGACTTGGTGTTTTCAGCACCATGCTCTCCCAAGTGAGCCAACTGGCCATCCCTATATAGGGATCCGAACCTGTGGCCTTGGTGCTATCAGCACCACACTCTTCCAAGTCAGCCACGGGCTGGCCCTTTGTTGTTTTTTTGATGGCTGGCCAGTGCAGAGATCAAATCCTGGGTCTTGTTGTTATCAGCACCATGTTCTAACCAACTGAGCTAACTAGGCAGCTCTAAAATATTTGTAAAGTATATTTGTCCAGTGTCATTTACGTTCCCAGATTCTCCTAATTACAGAAGCACTCATTTCAGACTTCTGGTTATGTAAAGTTCTCATTATTACCTCTGAGCCTTGGTTTCTCTTCTAAACGGTCCTGGGAATAATAGAGCCTACCTCATATACTTAATAATTAAATGATATAATCGATGCAATCATTTAGCATGTGCCCAACACAAAATGTTTCTCATTGTTAATAATACATTTCTTGCATTCAAGTTGTTTCTTTTGTGTATTTCCTCTGCCCAGCTCAATGCCACTTCACAGGCTATTTTCTATGCCTGGCATGCTCTTCCCTACCAGGTCTGTTAAGACTCTTACTCATCATTTGAGACTCCACGTCTTTAAGAAAGCTTCCCTGAGTTAGTTCTCAACTATTTAATGCCTCTCTGTGCTCAAATAGCACCTTGGAGGAACTTCTATTATAGCCCTTAACACATTGGATTATAATTAATTGTTTGTCTCTCTACCACTGGACTCTAAATTCCTGGAAGGAATAGTCAGTTTTTTCTTCTTTGTATTCTCATCCCCTAACTTAGCACCTGACACTTCTTCATTTATTTACCATCTACTGTCTGTGTTACCCTGCTAGGAAACACTGTGGATAAGTAGTTCAGGGACCTTGTCTTGGCAGACCTGCATGGGGACAAAACAGTTTCACTTTCTCCATAAACTTGGGAAAAGTTAACTCTCTAAGCCTTATCTGTAAAATGGAGACCACATCTTCTCTTTAAGATTGCTGTGAGGATGAAGTAAAATGTTTGCAAAAAATTCCATCTCATAGCAAGTGATCAATCATCGGGACGAAATGCTTGCCCAACAATCCCATTTTCGGGCATTCCACTCTAATCCTCCTTTGAGGCCCCGCACTCTGTGGGTAATCCTTCTGGTAGGGATTACTCTGGGTTCTATAATCCTCTCCATGGTCATTCGTCCAGCTAGCAACTCTGAGTCTCAATCGCCAGATCCAGGCGTTCGAAGAAGCCATTCTTCTTCCCCGCCCCCAACTCGCTCCAAACCCTTTCCTTTAGCCTACCCCGGGTCTAACGAGTGTGTCCAAGAGGCCCGATTTATGCGAAAATTAAATATCAAAACTCCTTCGCCAGGGTCTGGATAATGGCAAGACCCATAGTTAGAAGCTTTGCTATCGAATTTCAGTCTTGCCTTCCCTTTTGAGGAAGGAGCCAGCGGATCAGCCCTTCCGCAGTGGCTCCCTGCAGCGCCAGCCCCACTCGCGCGCAATGCAGAGAAGCTGAATGAACGAAGGAATGAATGAAAAGGCTACGTCGGAGGCCGGGCCTCTGTTACGTCGCTCACCGGCGCAGGCGTGGCCGCGGATGAGAGGCCTGCGGGCGCCGACCCCCAGTCCCACCGTCGCGCGGCAGGCTCAACCACGAGCACCGGAGCTCGGCGCCACTCGGCGCCGCCTCCCCCAAGTCCCTGCCCCAGCGGCGCGTCACTTCCGCCACCCCCGGCGGGGGTTAGGGCGGGGAGCGCGGGGGAGGGGGCGAGGTCCGAAGGAAGCCCGCCCGCGCCCGAACAGGGACTACATTTCCCGAGGGGCCTCGGCGGCGGCGGCGGCAGCGGCAGCGGAGGGCGCGGCAACGTCCCCCGGAAGTGGAGCCCGGGACTTCCACTCGTGCGTGAGGCGAGCGGAGCCGGAGACACGACCAGAGGCCGAACTCGGGATCTGACAAGATGGCTGGGTTGCCCCGCAGGATCATCAAGGTAACCGCCCAGGCCGGCCTCCGGCTCCCCGCTCTGCTCTCGTCCGCCTGGCGGGGCGGGCAGCGCGATCCCTGGCTTCCTCCAGCCCGCGGCCCGCTCTAGGAGGCCCGAGGCAGCGCGAAGAGGGTCTGCCGCGGCGGCGAGGGAAGTCGGGCGCTGGGGAGGGGGCGCCGGGGAGACTTCCGGCCGCGAAGGGGCGGCCCGGTGGCGGGGGTTGGGGGTTCCAGGCGGCCGCCCCACGGCCCGGGGAGGCCTGGCCCGCGTGCCGGCGGAGGGTGGGGCTGCGGGGCTCAGGGGTTCTGGTTTGGGCGCGGACCTCCACGGCCTCTTAGACCACCTCCGGGCGGAGGCCGCGGGCGCGCGGGAATCGTGGTGTTGCCCGGACGCTGGGCTGGGGTTGTGGTCCGACACGGCCCTTCGGCCCGGGCGCTATCGCCGGAGCGCGGCAGCCCCCGGTGCAGAATGAATGAATCGGGAGGGTGAGGCCGGGCGGGGCCCTGTGCCCCGGGAGGCGGCTCCGGGAGGGCCGCGCGTCCTGCCGCGGTCGGCACATGCTCGCCCCTGGCTGCTGGGGCCCGGGACGGTGGGGACTCCGTGCTCCGCTGCCTTCGCTTCCGCGACCTCCTCTCTAAACACGTTTCCTCTTGGTAGCACTGCGAAGTGATTTGACTCTGCTTGGCAAACTCTTTTACAGCTGTTTCTGTTCCTAGGAAATTGTTTCATGCAAGGTTGACGGAGGGCCGCAGTTATGGGGGGTCTTGTGAAATCTTTTGCCTCTCGATTTTGTGCACTTTAATTATTAAACTGTTCTTCGGCTCTTTATGAATACTGTACTTGGACAAGTACATGTGGAACCGTGAAAAATGAGACATTTTGGTTTTGAGTCAAGTCCTCAGACGTGAGATGTTTCTTGCTATCCACGAAAACTAAGCCTTACAGCTTATTGTCAGTTTTTATGGAGGAAATTCATTGAGCATCTGTTTTGCTCAATATGACAGTCAAAATGACTAAATTGCAGCATTAGTTTGCTTCCTATAACTTGGGAACGTTGTATTTAATCTTGTGCGTTCTTCTAAAGTTTTGGAGGAGATGCACACTAAGTGGAAGACCTGTTAGCCTCTGAAGGGTGATGTATTGTGTGGTTCATGCATCTGCAATATAGCTGAGGTGGGGGGCGTCACTGTCCTCAAGGTGCTTGATTTAGAGATATAAGACGTTTTATAAGGTAGAGATTCTTAGAAATGACAGAAGTAGAACAGATTGTCAGTGAGCACTGGAGTCTAATAATGTGAACCTTCATATTTGTTGTATTATAGATTTCTCTCGGACTGTCCAAGGAGGCTAAATTGTCATAACATTGGAAGGTCCTTACAATGTGGTTTTAGTTATAATATGGTCACATGGCTCTCCCAGTGATCATGTTTATCAAGGCGCCCCCAGTTGAAAAATGAGGGATGGGAGATAGAGCTATGCACCAAATATCCTCGAGTTTTTTTTTTTTTTTTTTTTTTTTTTTTT